AATAAAGCAGACTCTGATCAACATTCCCTGCACAAGGATGAGGTGAGGGGAGCGAGAACGAGAGTTGGGGGTTAAAAGTGTCATGTCACTCAAAGGAGCACACCACACTATCTAAATAAACACGGTAAAAATTGCAATAGTGCAGGCATAATAGGATGTACCGCAAACGCGGATAACCCAGGCCGGAAGGGGAGATACCATAACTGTTTAGCATACGCTTGGTCAAAGGATCGGCTTCACTTGTCTCTTTGACGATTAGCTGTATGGTGCTTAGGATGGCGATAATCACTGACGATGCCGGCGAAACGTTTGGGAATGTTCCACATCCACGTTTCAACTTTGGAAATGATCATGCAGACAATAGACCCCGGACTAGGTGCGTTCCAATAAGTCTTCCTACCAATATGGCCATGTTGCGAAAACAAGGTCAAACAACTTCTTTACTTAGTGGTAACTACAGGCTTTTACAAGAATGAGTCCCAACTCTGACGATGTTCGTCACATGACGAACGAAAGCTCAGCCCGTCTTCGCCCGCAACATTGAAGGAAGGTAAATATGTGGTACTCATGGATAGGGCGATGAGTCTAATAATGGAAGTTATACTCAGTCTTATTCCTTGTGTCATCTCTGGATGTTGCTCCAGAGTTTGTATCAGAGCTTACGGTCTCCCTAACGTTCACAAGGAGTGTCCCTCTAAGATTAATTGTAAATAATAAAGGAAGCGTGATGCATAAAATCTCACGGTTTTTATGCATACAAATAAGGAACTCTGTCAATTATTGGCCATATTCAGTTAAAAAGTCGTATGATTTTGAGAATTTGCTGGATCAGCAGATACTTTCAGAAGATTATAGACTTGCAAGTTTTGATGTTGTGTCTATGTACACATACATTCCTGTCCAAGGAGCTATTCAAGCTCTGATACAAACTCTGGAAGGACATCCAGAGATGACACAAGGAATAAGGTTGAGTGTAGTTTCCATTATTAGACTTATTAACCTATCCATGAGTACCACATATTTTGCTTTTGATGGTAAGTTATACGAACAAACACAATGATTAGCGATAGGATCTTGCTTGTCTCCCATTTTAGCGAACAATTATATGGCAAGATTAAAGTAACATTTCCTCTAAGAGGTAATACTAACCCACAAATTATGGGTTAGATACATGGATGACTATTTTTTCATCTGGCCTCATGGTAAGGACAGTTTAGATAGTTTCCTACTTTCACTCAACCAGCGTGAAAGGAACATAGGTTCACGATGGAAATGGAAGAGAATAAGTCATTATTATTTCTGGATGTTCTCATCAATAGAGAAAGAGGGAAAGTTAGGAAGAGATTTGTATATAAAGCCAACATATGTTGGCTCTGCTTAATTTTCTTTACAACCATAGTTACAAGACTAAGGTTAAAATTTTTAAGTCATTGATTATTGGAAGTATGAGGCTAAGTGATAGCAAACATTTGACTAGAGTCCCAACGGCTGACAAATATATTCATGGAAAATAATTATTCTTTGGGCCTTATTGAGAATAATATTTCTATAATGAGGAATAAATTTTCAGACTTAGACCATTTAGTCAAAGAGAGACAGGCTGAAACCTCTTCCCATGTCTTTATTTTGTCGTCATGTTTTCTTTCAAAAAAGATAGGCGAATTAGTGAAGAAGTGGGGCATAAAAAGAGTGTTCAAAGAAACCCTCACACTTTCTTCTGTTTTGCCATCTTTTAGAGAAAAATATGATCCATTATCGAGATCCGGCTGCTACAAGATTGTTTGCTTATGTGGTCGATGTTATGTTGATGGGACATGCCGACCTATTCGACAAAGATTGGGATAACACAAAAATGCTTATAAAGGAAGCTGGGTGCAACGGTCAGAAGTGGCAGAAAACATAGTAGAAACTGGAATTGAAATAGAATGGCCTCAAACTAGTCGATTTGCTGATTATGATAGGTCTGTGATTAAAAGAAAGATAAGAAAGGCTATTGAAATTAATAGCTTAGGAAATACGTTGAATGTGAGGAACGGAGGTAGAAAGTTTAGTAGGAATTACTTATGCTTGATTAATAGATTAAAAGAGAGAGGGTGTTAAGCTGCTGTCAAAAAAAGGCGACTCAATTTGTCTGCTCGGTGATGGTTCTAACTTCACTCACGTTCGTCCAACATGTTAGAGTAAGCTCATCAACCAAACCAGATATGTCAGATTACGCAGCCCCAGTCTTGCCTTTCCTTGGGTGTTTAAACGTTAATGACACTAGATAAGTGGTTTCGTAACTTGGCTGTCATGCTTACAAGCTGATATCTCATTATCTCAACCATTGTAAGAGGTAAAAATACCTATTTTTGTTGTATAAGGTGCTGGATTTTGCAGCTTCACAAAGATAATTTCAAACAAAATGGCAGCTGAAAGAAGAATTATGTAAATACCTCGAGACGTCGGATGGCGCTGAGAAGACATATTACGAGGTCAGCTAGAGGTCCTGTCGGATCAACGTCGACGACAGCTGCTTCTAGCTGGGGCAAAGTTAGTGCTCCTTTGTGTAAATGTTGAAAACATGACCCATTTTGATCAGCCGTTTGAGATACTCCACTCGGTGACATATTAGCATCAGTCTGAAGTAGGTCGGCGCAAGCCATGTGTTAAAACAAGTCGGAAAATTGTAGGAAGGAGAATTAGCGTAAAATAAGGTATTGATAAGAATCGAGTGAATGAAAATATTAATAAAGCTTAGAGCTAGATTCAAAACTCTAAAAAAATGGGCAAAAATGATCTTACCAGAAGTAAGAGAGGGTCCGGGATTCGATAAATAAGCTGGACAAGAAATTGCTTAGATATGGAATAATAAAACAGCGCAGAATTCAGCCAACCCTATCTCTAGTGTCCACCGCGTTTATCACGTTTCTATCCGTAATAGCAAGCCTATGAATTCATATGCCTTAGTATTTTGTGTGCCAACCCACAGATGTTGTGGTAATGCTCCCTTTGATTAGGTTCAATAATAATTGTTGTTCATAAGTAGTTTTCAAGATTAGGATATATCTCATATATATATCGTGTTGATAAAAAGTAAGCAGCATTAATTTGGTACTATCGTACAACCCAGCCAGCTAGTAAGCGTAGATTTCGCTTATGTTTTTTGTAGTATCAATGTAGTATGCAATTAAAAAAATTAATTGAGTAACTTGTTATCAGAATCCAAAGCATTTACCTGATGTAGGGCGAGACCGAGGTGATTGGCAAATACGTGAAAGAATTCTAATATTTGAACAGCCATGCCAAAGTACTCAGGTGAAAGACGAGTTTTAACCTATAAAACACAAAGGAATAGGTAAATGATAGGAGAAGACGACAAACTACCGTGCGATATGGTAAATAAGAAGTAAAACTAAGCTAAAATCGGAATCAAATTTTAAATCAGACAATGAAAAGATTGGAAGTTTTGTATAATAACAATTTAATCGTATTTAGACAGGATAAAAAATAAAAACCTCGAAAATTTGCAAAAGATTATAGAGACATGATACTCACGAAGACATTTAAGTGGACAACGTAAGCGATAAGTGATAGTTAGAACGTAGATATGAGGACAAAGATGTTGCGGTCTCTATTTTGGTCAATATCCTTGCGATATAAAGAAGTGGTCTGACCTCGTTTTCGCAACTTGATTGCGCTGTCAGTAAGACTTGGTTGGACTCACCTCGTCCAGTCTTCTGTTATGGTAGTTATCGTAATTCCCAGTAGAACCGTGGATTTGGTAAATCCCTAAATGTTTCGCCGGCATCGTCAATCAGTCTTGCCAATCTCAGCACCAAGCTATAATTCTTCAGATACAAATGAAGTCAATCCATCAGTCGCCAAACGATAATGCTATACAAGTTGGCGATAAAGGCAGATAAATCAGCATACGAATCAAGGAATATCAAAGGCTCTGCAGGAAAATGAATACGGAAAGATCAGAAATAGCGGAACACATCGCATAGACTGGACATGAGATCAATTGGAAGGCAACTGAAACAAGGGTCTGATACAGTAAAAACACGAGGAAACGGAAAAGTATGGAGGCCATTGGCATCCTCGGAAGAAGACAGAATTACGATAACTCGGAGAAAACATGGATACGGCAAGACCAACAAAAAAGAGACGCCTGTATCAAGGGTCTATCATTAATCACAGGAAAATGGATCGCAAGGAAGAAGCGAGTGGGGAAGTTTGATAAATCAAATGAAAATTTTCTCAGTGTGTGGTTGGCCAGAGGAAACAGCCATGACTTTTTAGCCTTGAAGTCACATAATCATAGCCGTCACTTAAATTCGGCATTATAGCCAAATTGAATATAAAAACACTCGAGATGCAGCAGGCGACCAGGGAAAGATGCCCACAATTTACTTAGGGCACACGGGTTTAATCAAGATGATCCGTGAAAACAATGCCTAATAGCTGCAAGCGTGGAACTCAGAGCCTATGCGCTCTGCTCGGTGAAGCGACAGTGTAGGTGCTTTTAAGGGCTTGAGAAATAGCGCACGGAGTAAAACAAAGATTGGGACTGGAACCGAGTGTAGTCGGTCAAATAGAAAGATAAGAAACATACATACGAGCCCATGGAACAGATCCGGATAGGGGACTCGAGTCGGATCAGCAAATGGAAAGGGAGGGGGGCAAGGCAAACAGCAGGTGTGATGACGCCACAGTAAACTTGACAAAAAGGGAAAACCTTTTTGGGAGTGGAATGTAAACAAGTCAGAATTTGTGATAGGGCGGGAGTGAGATAAGAGGATGGAGAGTGGGCAGATGTACCAGGACAGAAAGAAAAGTGATACCACAACCGTTGGACAGATGGCTGCTGAAGGAATTGACTTCACTTGTCAATTTTACAAGCTGTAGCTTGTTGCTGAGAGTGGCAAGACTCACTAACAATGCCGGCGAAAAGTTTGGGAATTTATCAAGTCTACGGTCAGATGCTGGGAATTATGATAACTAGTATAGCAGAAAACTTCGAACAAAGTGCGTACAACTAAGTCACCATGGCAGCACAGCCAAGCTGCGAAAAAGAGGTCAGACTTTGATAAACGATAGTGTTAAGAGCATAGAACTAATGATACTTTGATATAATAAGTATAAATGGTTAATTTTGCCTTGTTCAATAATAATTAAACTTATGCCACAAGTAGCTTTGCGTGTAATACCGGCCTATAAATCAGCGCTTGATTTCAATTCCTCTTCGATATTACTACTCATCTGGGTACATAGCTAAGAGGAAAAGAATGAAAAATGGCTTAGGATCAAAACTAATTAAAATGAGTGATGATGACTAGTTATAGTAGAAAAAATAAACAAACCCGTAAATCCACATATTTCAATACTAAATCAGCGCAAGGGAAGCAGTTGGTTAGAAAGATCAACAACAACTTATTTCAGTGCCATTAGTGAGTAGTTTCCATTAAGTTAGGAGTCAGCTCTTTTCGATTAAACATTATCACAGCCTAGCTATCATGGAAAAAGGGAAAGCATCATAAATCCAGCGAATCAATTTAGCTTAAATTAAATCTAAAAAGCTTAGATAAGAACCCTTAAAACTTTAAGAAGCATCAACCCCAAAATTTCAGCTCAACTTTAATTCCATTCGTTCGTATTCCAATTAACAATGCAAATAGTTCGCTTGTAAGAGCCAGTATAAAGCAACAATAATAACAAATATATGAAGACCAAGATGTTGTGGCCTCTGGTGTGGTCGCAGTCTCCTTTCGATTGATAGAAGTG